TATATATATATATATATATATATATATATATATATATATATATATATATATATATATATATATATATATATATATATATATATATATATATATTAGGGGTGTAACGATACACAAAAGGCACGGTTTGGTTCGGTTCACGGTTTTGGAGCCACGGTTCGGTTCTGTAAGGTACGGTTTCTGTTTGCTGTGGGGTTAGGGTTGATGTCATGTTAACAGCAATGCTAAGGGACAATTCACTTAATAACAAGAACATCTTACCTTTTTATTTATTAACTTTGTCATCGCATGTTTAGTACAGTCAGGATACCCGAGTAAACAACTAGAATTAAATAAATACCTCCAATATAGACTAGTCAGAAAAAAAACTATTCTCTTTAGTGCAGCCATCTTAACTAAGTAAACTAAAATTAAATAAATAACTGCAGAGTAGACTAGTGAAAGATCTTCTTCAAAAACACCATAATATCCACATTCTCCGATGAGAGGCTTGATCTCTGTGCAGACACAGACGCTCATTTTTGATTATATGGTTTCATTTAGATAGATAGGTTTCCGTTTAAATTAATGAAAAATATACATATAATGTGTTTGTAAAGTGTTTTTTCATGACATATTCACCAGTAAAATACATTGCGGTTGTGTCTGAAACTACTGTTAGGGTTGTAGCCGGCTGTATGTTTGCCTCCCGATCTCTCTGAAGGTCATCTTTGTTTATTTTATTCAGTATAGGGAAGAATGCGGCGCACGGCGCTGAAGACCTTTTTTTTCTTTTCATCAGTTTTAGCGAGGTAAGAGGGGTTATTAATGAGTTAGAATTGTTTTATTATATTTATTTATTTTGTTTGTCTTCACTATCACCCCCTTGCTCGAGTTTAACTAATTTTTGTTTGATACTTTTGTTTGAATTTGTTACTTTATTATATTATTTTTATTAGTGTATATATTTCTCTTTTTTTGTATCTTTGGGCATTATTCTGGTTTTACTTTTGTACATTAAATCACTTTTGTTGGCAGTTCTGTTGCTTACACCCTCACATTGTGAAATTACCACACTTTTTAAATGTTTTTCCTTACAAGTAAGTTTCGTGAAACAGTTGAGACAGACAGGCGTGCGCTTTGTCTACGACACGAATTCTATTCCTGTACTCAACTGAAAAACCAAAATCTTTCCACACAGATGACTTAAATGTGTCTGGGGGATCTGCAATCTCAGTACTATGTGAAGCAGCCATCCTGCGTCCAGTAGTAACGAGTGTGATGCTTACTCAAGTCACATGACATAACATGCACTAAAATACTAACTTTAGAATATAATATTTAGAACAAATCCTCATTATTACTAAAACAATTTAATCAAATATGATATTAAAGATGTGTTTAAATTGGTTCAATTAGTTAGAGACAAGTGACGTCAACCTCAACAATGGGCAGCAGGGGGCGTGAGAGTACCGCGGTACGCCACGAGAGTTTCGCGATACGTATCGTGGTTGGTGTATCGTGATATTTCGGTTCGGTTTTAATATCGTTACACCCCTAATATATATATATACACATACACACACACACACACACACACACACACACACACAAACACACACACACACACATATATATATATATATATATATATATACACACAAATATATACTCACCGGCCACATTAGGTATATTTATTAAATTTTGCTCCAAATTGACATTGTTAGAGCAAATTCCTTGCTGATTTCGCTGTCCCCAGCAGGCAATGTTTTTAGACGCAGGACACTTGCTTTAATATTGATCCATTTTTATTCTTGCTTCCAAAACAGACAACTTACAATATTTTTTCAATGTCCCCCAAAATTTATCGCATGCGTTAACGCACTAATTTTGACTGCGCTAAAATTTATATATACGTATATATATATATACATCCAGTCAGTAGATGCTAGAATATGCTGCAGCACTTATTAACAAAGAATTGGAAATATTAAAATATATACACAACAATAATACACTTTACTATAGTATGTTTTTTAAATACTAAAAATCCCCATAGTATTTTCACATGGGTAGGTCCACTTGACTGAGAAAGAACAGATACTGTGTCAACTATAATTAAGTCCTAACTGTACGCAAGTGTATGTAGAAGTGCACAGAAACGCACAAAAGAATCCAACAAAAGAGTTTGGGGAGATCAGAGACGCTCCAGCAGCTTTGAGATGAACAACAGGCGCTCTGGTCTCTCCCTCCCTCCATTCAGACTGTTTTCTTCTTTCTTTTCTTTTCTCCCACACCCTCAGCGCTCCGAATACACCTGTCAGCTCTAAAACTCCAGCGGATCACCTGTAATTAAGCAACCTGCTCTGCCGGTCCACACAACACACACTCGCCGCCAGACGCTCAGCTGATCGTGTCGGGACGTGCAGATATATTCACACACACTCAACTCTCACACACATCTGCAGGCTTTGAGGAAGAATCAAACTCTGGATTTGAAGAATCGCGTCTGTCAGCAGCTCAACAAATAACAGGATTCAATGTTTAAGAGTCATTTCACCAGACAAAACCAAGATCTTTGGGTATTAAAGGCGGTGGAGAATGAAAATAAAAGGATGATGTTCTTTGAAGTCAAGGAGTTTGACGTATTGTTCAAAAACCGGGAAGGAATCATTTATGACTCACTCTGACTGGATTCTTTTGAATCTGTGAATCGTTAAATGAACACTCAGTCTGGTCTGAATTAGTGAATCACTAACTGGACACTCACTCTGGTTGGATCATTTGAATCAGTGAGTTGTAACTGGAGAGTCACTCTAACCAGATCATTTGAATCAAAGAATCATTAACTGAACACTCAATCTGACTTGATAAACTGAATCAGTGAATCATTAACTGAACACTTGGTGTGACTAGATCATTTGAAGTAAGTTGTTAACAGAAGAATCACTCTGGCTGGATCATTTGAATCAGTAAGATGTTAAAAGGTGACTCACTCTGACCGAATCATTTGGATCAGTGAGTTGTTATCTGGAGAGTAACTCTGACCAGATCATTTGAATCAAAAAAGTTAAATGAACCCCCACTCTGGCAGGACTATCTGAATAAGTGAATCATTAACTAGACACTTGCACCGACCGGATCATTTGAATCCGTTGGTCGTTAACTGAAGACTCGCTTTGACTGAATTATCTGAATCAGCAAATCAGTAACTAAAGACTCGCACTGACTAAATTATCTGAATCAATGAATCATTAACTAAAGACTTACTCTGACTGGATGATCTGAATCAGCGAATCATTAACTGAAGACTCACTCTGACTAGATTATCTGAACTAGTGAATCATGAAATAAAGACCCACTTTGACCAGATTATCTGAATCAGTGAATTATTAACTAAAGACTCACTCTGACTGGATTAGCCGAATCAGTAAATCAATAACTAAAGCCTCATTCCGACTAGATTATCTGAATCAGTGAATTATTAACTAAAGACTCATTTCGACTAGATTATCTGGATCAGTGAATCATTACCTAAAGACTCACTCTGACTGCATGACTCACTCTGACTGCATGATCTGAATCATTTAAATCATTAACTAAAAACTCACTCTGACTGGATGATCTGAATCAGTGAATCATTAACCAAAGACTCACTCTGATTAGAGGATCTGAATCAGTGAATTAATAACTAAAGACTCACTCTGACTAGATTATCTGAACCAGCGAATCATTAAATAAAGACTCACTTTGACCAGATTATCTGAATCAGTGAATCATTAACTAAAGACCCACTCTGACCAGATTATCTGAATCAGTGAATCATTAACTAAAGACTCACTCTGACTAGATTAGCCAAATCATTGAATCAATAACTAAAGACTCACTCTGACTAGATTATCAGAATCAGCGAATCGTTAACTAAAGACTCACTCTGACTGGATTAGCCAAATCAGTGAATCAATAACTAAAGACTCACTCTGACTGGATGATCTGAATCAGTGAATCATTAACTAAAGACTCACTCTGACTGGATTAGCCAAATCAGCGAATCATTAACTAAAGACTCACTCTGACTGGATGATCTGAATCAGTGAAACATTAACTAAAGACTCACTATGACTAGATTATCTTAACCAGCGAATCATTAAAAAAAAAAGACTCAGTTTGACCAGATTATCTGACTCAGTGAATCATTAAAGACTCAACCTGACTAGATTATCCGAATCAGTGAATCATTAACTAAAGACTCACTCTGACTGGATGATCTGAATCAGCGAATCATTAACTAAAGACTCACTTTGACTGGATGATCTGAATCAGTAAATTAACAACTAAAGACTCACTCTGACTAGATTATCCAAATCAGTGAATCATTAAAGACTCACTCTGACTAGATTATCCGAATCAGTGAATCATTAAAGACTCAATCTGACTAGATTATCCGAATCAGTGAATCATTAACTAAAGACTCACTCTGACTGGATGATCTGAATCAGTGAATCATTAACTAAAGACTCACTCTGACTGGATGATCTGAATCAGTGAATCATTAAAGACTCAATCTGTCTAGATTATCCGAATCAGTGAATCATTAACTAAAGACTCACTCTGACTGGATGATCTGAATCAGTCAATCTCTTAAACAAGAATATTTGTATAGTAATGTGTGTGTGTGTGTGTGTGTGTGTGTGTTTAACTTTCTTAAGCAAGAGTATTTGTACATTTATGTGTGTAGTGTTTATCTCTCTTAAGCAGGAGTATATGGGGCAGTAGTGTGAGTTGTGTGTCTACCTTCTTTAAACAGGAGTATATGTACACTTGTGTGTGTGTGTGTGTGTGTGTGTGTGTGTGTGTGTGTGTGTGTGTGTACCTCTCTTAAGCAGGAGTATATGGGGCAGTAGTGTGAGTTGTGTGTCTACCTTCTTTAAACAGGAGTATATGTACACTTGTGCGTGTGTGTACCTCTCTTAAGCAGGAGTATATGGGGCAGACGAGGACTCTGAAAGGCTCTCCAGCGCTGCTCCTCATGGTGCCGAACACCTCGCAGAGGAACGTGATGAAGCCCAGCCAGTTCTCCACATCCGTCTGCTGGAGTTCCTCACGCCGCTTGAAGTCCATCTGAAACATTTAATCAATACATAACAAATAAAAGCTTCAAAATGCATGTTCATTCTTAAAACAACACACACAAAAAAAACTATACCTAAAACCCAAAGATCAATGTCTGACTCAAACACATGCAACTGTTAGACCAAACAACGAATAACATGGAGACAATCTCTTTACACAGGCGCACATACATTACTGTTCATTTATTTTTATCGCTGTGTCTGAATGTTGTGTGTATTTGTGTATCCAAGTGTTTGTGTATGTCTGTTCATCTGCGTGTGTGTATTTGTGTGAATCTGAGTGTGTCTGAGCATCTGTGCGAGTCTGTATGTGTATTTGTGAATGTGTTGCTTTGTGTCGAATGAGTGTTTGTGTCTGTTTAATGCCAGTTTATCCCAGTGTGCGTCTGTATTTGTGTATCTAAGTGTGCTTATTTGAGTGTTTGCGTCTTAGTAAGTGTGTGTCTGCGTATTTGTGTGTCTGAGTGTATGTGTCTGTGTTTGCCAGTTTATCTGAGTTTGTATTTGAGTGTGCGTCTATATTTGTGTATCTGTGTGTGTTTTTTTGAGTGTGTGCATTTGTGTGCGTCTAAGTAAGTGTGTATCTGTATTTGTGTGTGTGTGTGTGTGTGTCTGTGCAACTCTGAATGTGTGTCTCTGTATTTGTGTATCTGAGTGTATGTGTCTGTGTATGGCAGTTTATCTGAGTGTGTATCTGAGTGTGTGCATCTGAGTAAGTGTGTGTCTGTGTATTTGTGTGTGCCTGTATTTTGTGTGGATCTGAGTGTGTGTCTGTGCGACTTTGTATGTGTGTCTGTGTGTTTGTGTATCTGAGTGTATGTGTCTGTGTATGCCAGTTTATCCGAGTGTGTATTTGAGTGTGTGTCTGTATTTGTGTATCTGAGGGTGTTTATTTGAGTGTGTGGATCAGTGTATTTGTGTGTGTCTGTATTTGTGTAGATCTGAGTGTGTGTTTGTGTGTTTGTGTCTGTGCAACTCTGTGTGTCTGTGTATTTGTGTATCTGAGTGTATGTGTTTGTGTCTGCCAGTTTATCTGTGTGTGTGTGTTTGAGTAACTTTGCGTTTATTTGAGTGTCTGCATTTGTGTGTATCTGAGTGTGTGTCTGTGCAACTCTGTGTGTCTGTGTATTTGTGTATCTGAGTGTATGTGTTTGTGTCTGCCAGTTTATCTGAGTGTGTGTGTTTGAGTAACTGTGTGTTTATTTGAGTGTCTGCATTTGTGTGGATCTGAGTGTGTGTCTGTGTACTTGTGAATGCGTGTCTGTGTGTCTATGTGTATTTGTCTGTGTATGCCAGTCTATCCGAGTGTGTATCTGAGTGTGTTTATTTGAGCGTGTGCATTTGTGTGCGTCTGAGTATAAATGTGCGTCAGTGTATTTGTGTGTGTCTGCATTTGTGTGGATCCGAGGGTGTGTCTATGTGTATGTGTCTGTGTATGCCAGTTTATCCGAGTGTGTGTTTGAGTGTGTGTCTGTATTTGTGTATCTGTGTGTGTTTATTTGAGTGTGTGTGTGTCTGTGTGCATCTGAGTGGGTGTGTGTCTGTATTTGTGTGCATCTGAGAGTGCGTCTGTGTATTTGTGTGTGTGTGTGTGTGTGTGTGTCTGAGCATCTCTGCGAGCCTTTATATGTATTTGTGAATGTGTGTCTGTGTTCAAGCATGTGTCTGTATTTGTGTATCTGTGTGTGTTTGTGTGCATCTGAGTGTGTCTGTGTATTCGTGTCAATGTATGTGTGCTTATTGGATTGTGTGTATTTGAGTCTGTATTTGTGTGCATCTGAGTGTGTGTGTGTGTGTGTTTGTTTTTGTGTGTGTATGTATGCATATTTTTGTGTATCTGATTGTGTATATGTTTGTGTGTGTGTGTATTGTGTATGCTTTTTGGAGTGTGTGTTTGTGTGCGTGTCTGTTAGTGTATTTGTGTGTGTCTGAGTATTTGTGCGACTGCATGTGTGTTTGCGAACGTGTTGCTGGGTGTGTGTATTTGTTTATCTAAGTGTTTGTGTCTTTCTATGTGTGATTATCTGAGTGTGTGTGCATCTGAGAGAGTGTGTATGTATTTGTATATGAGTGTTTGTGTATGTCTGTGTGATTATTTTGTGTGTGTGTGTGTTTGTGACCGTGTAGGTGTGTTATCCGAGTGTGTGTGTGTGTGTGTGTGTGTGTTTGTGTGCTTCTCAGTGTGTTTGTGTGTATTTATGCCTAAGCATCTGTAAGACTTGGTGTGTGTATTTGTGAATGTGTTGCACTGTCTGTGTGTGCATGACTATATGTGAGTGTATGTCTGTGTGATTATTTTGTGTGTGTGTGTGTTTGTGACTGTGTAGGTGTGTTTATCCGAGTGTGTGTGTGTGTTTGTGCGCTTCTTAGTGTGTTTGTGTGTGTTTATGCCTAAGCATCTGTAAGACTCGGTGTGTGTATTTGTGAATGTGTTGCACTGTCTGTCTGTGTGTGCATGACTATATGTGAGTGTGTATGTGTACATGTGAGTGTTTGTGTCTGTCTGTGTGATTATCTGTGTGTGTGAGGATTTTAAATGAGCAGAGTCAGTCGCGTCCTCTCGCTGGGGTCAGAGACTCTTCATCTGTGTTATATAATCCCTTCAGATTGAAAGCGTCTGCTTGAGCGTCAGATGCTGAAGAGAACAGGTTTATATGAGGACAGACTGATGATTCATCAACACACACACGCACACGAACACACACAGAAGATGCAGACGCACATCACAGACACAGGAGAAGATGCTTTTATTCAGCAACAACGCATTCAATTACTCAAGCCTCATTTATAAAGATGATCTCAGATAAATGCTGCTCTTCTGAACTACATTCATCTGTGAATCCTGAAAACTGTAATGCGCCAGCGTTTCTGCAAAAGCATGAAGCGGCACAAATGTTTTCAACAAATTAATAATCAGAATTATCAACATCAATACATTATCCAAATCAGTATATGATGGCTCGTTTTCACTGACTGGTGCAGTACGGTACGGTTCGGGTTGGTACGGGTCACCTTTATCAGGCATGCGTTTCCACTATACCCTTTTGGTGGGCGTGGTGTAAGACAGAAAGTGTCAGTCGCATTCTCAATCGAGGAAATGTCTACAGTAAAGCTGCACGGGTCATTCACAAATCATATTAAAAGCACTTCTCACAAAACAGATGCTTTACACAAATAAATACTTCTGTATAAATGTTAATTACTAACTTTTCTATAGACCTTTTTCATGGCTGCTGCATTGAGGGCGCCATAGCCAGCGTCTTCCGGTAGAATGCTAAAAACTTCCGTTCACAGCGTGTACAACTGGTAGTTTGCGCTCCGAAAATGGGTTTCAATAATGTTTTTAATGGATAACAGAGTGTTTTTGTGACACACAACTTAGAAATGTGTCTGTTAAAGCCGTTATAATCTGTCCCGTGTGGTTCAAGCGCGTCAGAAATACGAGACAAACGTTCTCCTAGTTCACGTGTCTGCCGTCAGAAATACAGTGTGTGTGTGCGTTCCCGGCCTCTCAGCTGTTAGCTCAGCGGCTCTTTAACACACACACACAGAGAGAGAGAGAGAGAGAGAGAGAGAGAGAGAGAGAGAGAGAGAGAGAGAGAGAGAGAGAGATTAAAAAAAAATTATTAAAAAATTATTCACACACACAGAGAGAGAGAGAGAGAGAGAGAGAGAGAGAGAGAGAGAGAGAGAGAGATTAAAAAAAAAATTATTAAAAAATTATTCACACACACACAGAGAGAGAGAGAGAGAGAGAGAGAGAGAGAGAGAGAGAGAGAGAGAGAGAGAGAGAGAGAGAGAGAGAGAGAAAGAGAGAGAGAGAGAGAGAGAGAGATTAAAAAAAAAATTATTAAAAAATTATTACGTTTAACCCACCCATTAAACTGTGGCTGAAAATATTTGACACCATTGTAAAGCCAGTCCTGCTGTATGGCTGTGAACTCTGGGGACCCACATTTAAATTAAACTATGAATCTTGGGAAAAAACTCCAGTTGAAATCTTTCATCTGGAGTTTTGCAAAAACATCCTCGGAGTTCACAGAAGCACACCCAGCCTTGGTTGCAGAGCAGAACTAGGCAGGTTCCCTCTGCTCTCAGAAATCCAGAAGAGAGCAGGGAAGTTCTGGCTCCATCTGTCAGACTCCAGCCCAGAGAGCTACCATCAGCAAGCCCTCATATATAGAAATGCACATCCGGCCAGCGACCCCATGCACTATCTGGTGGAAAAACACCAACTAAACTCACAAACCCTGTCCCAACATATAAAGACTAAAGAAATAGAAAAGATTACCCAGGAGGATTATAAACTCAATTGGCAAAATAAAGTACAACAAATAAAAAAGTTAGCGTGCTTCAACCAGATTAAACCTGGTTATGAACTGGCCCCGTATCTGACCAACATTAAGAGCCCCGGTCAGAGAAAGCTGATGAGCCGGTACCGTCTGAGTGGACACAGTCTGAGTGTGGAGACGGGGCGACACAAGCGCAGCTGGAGGAGCCCAGAGCTCAGACTGTGTCCACACTGCTCTGCTAGAGTTGTGGAGGATGAGCTGCATTTCCTCACTCAATGCAGCAAATATCAGAGCATCAGAGAAGCTTACTTCACACAAATGTCTCTGATTCTACCACAATTCCAGCAAGCCACAAATACGGAGAAACTCCATTATATTTTGGGAGAAAATGAAAAGTGTCTCCACCTAGCAGCACAGTACGTGTCCTCATGCCACCATATGAGAGAAAAAGGCTGAACCCCCTCATCCCTTATTAAAGCTCTCTGTCCTTACCATTTATTATTACTTTTGTTAATCTTTTTTTTATTAACTTGTTTATTGTGACAACATATATGTATAATATAACGATATGTATATGTGTTTGTTTATTATTACTTATATTTCTTTTATCTATATGAATGTTCTGTATTTTGTTATTGCTTTGGCAACATTGTGATTTGTTTTACAGTCATGCCAATAAAGCTCTTTGAATTTGAGAGAGAGAGAGAGAGAGAGAGAGAGAGAGAGAGAGAGAGAGAGAGAGAGAGAGAGCAAACCAGAGTACTGGCATGAAACTTAACAGGTATGAAAGTCGTGCAATTTACAAAAATGAGCAATAAAAGTCTGTTATTGATCCTCTGCTGGCTGATTTGCTGTTCATTCTAATCGCGAGCCGTTTGTGTTTCATTTCGTGTTGTTTTCACCACGGTTTGTGTTTTTCTGTCATGTCGAATTGACACTAGCCTATATTTTCACTTTGTCACCGTTATTAAATCAGTGTGTCAGTGGCGCACTACAGGCTACGTGTGTGTGTCAAACATTTTGGTGAATTACATTTGTTTGGGCTGGTTATATATTTGAAATAAAGAGAAACTGTTGACTTTAGCGATGACGAGGCTTCATTTAAACTGCAGAAGATGCCGTCTGACAACGAGGGGAAAATGTCTAACAGCAGCTGTTTTTCATCCTATTAGATCGCATTTCTTTAAATGATCAGTCCAGGAGATGCTGCTGATGGACAACAGTATTAGTTCAAAGAGGATAAAAGCAGGTAAATAGACTAAAACTATCGTTTCAAAGCTGTCCAAATGTGACTGTTTACACGCATCAGCTGCTGACCGGAAGTTCTTCGCATTCTCCTTGCGCATACATGCAAAGCATAATGGGTAATTTTGCGTTCCAAGAAAAAGGTCTATAGACAGGAGTTGATTATAACTGCAGATCAATGCCAGTGCAAAATAGCCTACAGTAACGTCTGTAATTATATAAAATAAATAAATAAATGAACATATATGAACACATACAGCCCCTTACAGTCTCCGATATGTTACCAACTACAGAAAAACTACACACATCGCAGGGAGTGCGTTTCCGAAAACCACCGTTAGCCAACTAAGGTCGCAAGTTCCGTCACTACAAACATAGTTCGTTGATTTGGCGTTTCTGAAATCCATCGTTTTAACAAACGTTCGCAAACTGCATCGCAAACTTGTACACTTGCAACTACATCTGTTGTTACTGTAGAAACATAGTTCCTGGCTGTGTTTCTTTTCCCAGTTATCCCCCTATGCTCTATTCCTTTTGAACGTTCCAACATTTTTTGAATGATTAATTAAAACTAGCTTTAAAAATAATGCAATTCGCTTTCAACGTTTTTTTTTTTTTACAGGTCAGTTTTAGCTAATATTCAGCTTGACAATTGATCTCCCTTTGTAGTGCACTCCCTTATCGGGCTCATACCAAAAGCCTGCGAGTTACAAGCGGAAATCTCCAAAGTTTGTGAAAACAAAAAACATAGGATATGTAAAATGCTTTAAATTTATAGTAGCCTACTGTATATAATCTGTACAAAACAAAACAATTTAAGTTAAGCATCATTATGGACGTTTTACATTATAACTAGCATAGTTCACATGACTGATCTGCGACTGAAACTACGGTTTTGGAAAACACTCGTCACTACTTCATTCTTTTCCCAAATGATGCATTGTACTATGGTAATTCAGCAGCAAGTTATGTCATCGTTTGGGAAACACATCCCAGATTAGCATTTAAATTCATCAAAACATCCTCTACTGTTTTCTTCTTGTTTTTACAACAGTATAAAAGTGTGCATTACTTTCATAACCTTTGTGTGATCTTTGGAGTTATGAGAAAAAACTGCAACCAGGATTTCCGTTCCAAATGAGAATGATTTAATGATGACAGAACTTCGGTCTGAGCCGGCTTTTAACAGTGAATTGACTAACTCCTCATTTCTAAACAAGGTGATGACATTCAGGCCCGAAAGTCCCTGCAGTCCAATGAGGAAACACTGAGCTGAATGAATAAATGAGTCACATCCTCAAATATTTCAGAAAAAGAGGAAGAGCAGAAACAGAGAGACCGCAGACGACAAAACAGGAACCAAGGAGTGGTTTTCTACAGGTGGAAGAACCACTTTCTATAAATTCCTGCAATCTGATTGGTCCTTGCCAATGATTAGTGTCCGCCCACTTTTTTCAGAAGTATTTGACATGTTCGTATTATATTCAATAGGCTTTAACACAAACACGAAGCTGCAAAATCACAACATTACAAACTTCAAATCAAAAACAACACTGTGAACTATTCTGTTAATAAGGGTGAGAACTACTATCCCACGAGGCACTGCGAACAGCACAGTTTATTTAAAGCTGTTCAAACTACATTTCAGGTTTATTGCTAAATACGTGTATATACGTGAACATTAAAGTATTTTGAGAGTGTGTTGACAGTTAATTATGGTATTTGTGGTGTTACATGGTTAATTTTCAGCAAAGCATCATGGGTAATGTAGTTTTCATTAGACTTTTTAAAGAAATAAACTTTTGTTTTTGAACCAAACATGAAGCTACGAGATCCCAACATTGCAAGCTTCAAATTGAAAGCTCGTCAAAAATTCAACACTGTGAACTTCAATTAATAAGGGGGAGAACTACAATCCCACAATGCACTGCAAACAGCACTATTCATTTAAAGCTGTTCAATTGTTGACTACTGTATTTCAGGTTTATTGCTAAATACGTGTATATACGTGAACATTAAAGTATTTTGAGAGTGTGTTGACAGTTATCCATGGCATTTGTGGTGTTATTTGGTGGATTTAGCAAAGAATCATGGGTAATGTAGTTTTTATTGGGCTTTTTAAAAGAATTAAACTTTTGTTTTGTTTTTGAACCACACACAAAGCTACGAGATCCCAACATTACAAGCTTCAAATTGAAAGCTTGTCAAAATTTCAACACCATGAACTTCTATTAAAAAGGAAAAGAACTACAATCCCATAATGCACTGCGGAGAGTACTATTCATTTAAAGCTGTTCAAATGTTGACTATACTGTATTTCAGGATTTTTGCTAAATACTTGTATATACATGAGTATCAAAGTATTTTAAGAGTGTATTGAGAGTTAATAGTAGAATTTGGCTTTACATGGTGGATTTTCAGTAAAGCATCATGGGTAATGTAGTTTTCAATAAACTTTTTAAAAGAAAAACTTTTGTTTTGTTTTTGAACCAAACATGAAGCTACGAGATCCCAACATTACAAGCTTCGAATTAAAAGCTCGTCAAAAATTCAACACCGTGAACTTTAATTAATAAGGGAGAGAACTACAATCCCACGATGCACTGCAAACAGCACTATTCATTTAAAGCTGTTCAAATGTTGACTACTGCATTTCAGGTTTATTGCTAAATACGTGTACATACATGAACATTAAAGTATTTTGAGAGTGTGTTGACAGTTATTCATGGCATTTGTGGTGTTATTTGGTGGATTTTTAGCAAAGCATCATGGGTAATGTAGTTTTCAATAGACTTTTTAAAAGAAAAACGTTTGTTTTGTTTTTGAACCAAACATGAAGCTACGAGATCCCAACATTTCAAACTTCAAATTGAAAGCTCATCAAAAATTCAACACTGTGAACTTCAATTATAGAGGAGAGAACTACAACCCCACGATGCACTGCAAACATTACTATTCATTTAAAGCTGTTCAAATGTTGACTTCAGGTTTATTGCTAAATGTGTATATACATGAACATTTAAGTATTTTGAGAGTGTATTAAGAGTTGATTGTGGCATTGATAGTTGAATTTGTGGCACTATAGGGTGGATTTTCAGCAAAGCATCATGGGTAATGTAGTTTTCAAAAGCCTTTTTAAAAGACATTAAACTTTTGTTTTGTTTTTGAACCAAACTCAAAGCTACAAGATCACATTACAAACTTCAAGTTGAAAACAGGTCAAAAATACAACACTGAACTATTAATAAAGGAGAGAACTACAATCACATGATGCACAGTGACAACACTATTCTTTTATTATGGTTCAGATGTACTTCAGGTTCATTGCTAAATATTTGTATAAACATGAGCATTAAAGCATTTTAAGAGTGTACAGAGAGTTGGTTGTGGCATTTGTGGTGTTATATAGGACTGGGTGGAGCTTTATGGTGTGCTTTGACACTCATTGGTGGAATCTCAGCAGAGCATCATGGGTAATGTAGTTTTTCCTGCACGAATGTCACTATTAAAAGGATTTTTTACCCAAAAAACAAAAATTGTCTCATTATTTATTCTCTCTCATAACCTTTATGAATTTCTTTCTTCTGTTGAACACAAGATACTTTGAAGAATGTTGGTTCCCGTTGCCTTGCAAAGTAAGAAAAAAATACTATGGAGGTCAATGGGTACCAGGCACAAGCAAATAAAAAAAACATACTTTAATTTGTGATTATCAGAACAAAATAAACTCAAACTTTTTTTGAGCAACTGAAGGGTGAGTAAATGATTTCAATTTTTAATTTGACCTGTTTCTTTATCTAATTTCTAAAAATACGGTAAATTAAGCTAGTTTGACAACTTAAAAAAATAGTGATAGTTTGTTTGGTTCTCACCTGTAACATGTTGAGTAGGAGTGAGCGGAATTTGGTTCCCTCCACCATGAACAGAGCCATCTTGTCGCAGAGTTTGGCAGCGGTGGCGGCGAAGCTCCGGTCGCTGACCGCCTTGCGGTAAATGGTCTGCACGATCTGGCTGAGCGTCTCCTCGGATTCGGCTGAGTTCTGCGCCTCCTCCATGAAGCTGGTGAGCTGCGCCTCCACACCGCTGCTGTTATTCCTCATGCTGTTCAGGATCTCTAATAATCGGTCCATTCGGCTGCGCTGAGGGCCGGCTGTCGCCACGGGAACCTCCTCCTGCCATTCAGAGAAGAGTCAACATCAGCACTGACGAATAGTATGTGTGCTTTCATTTTACAAACTCGCACATACATCATTCTTTATTCTATCACGTTCATCCATTTAATTAAATCATCCATTCACCCTTTCATTTGATTTACAATTCATCCTTCTTTTATTCATTAGTCGTTAATTATATTTCACTCCATCCATCCATCCATCCATCCATCCATCTTTTTTCAATCCATCCTTCAGTGCATCATGTTTCTCTTCAATTTATCCACTACCCATCCATTCATTGAATTCATCTATCCATCCATTCTTTCATCCTATTCAACCATCATTCATTTAATAATGTCTATCCATCTATCTTCTTTCATTTTATCTAACTATAATTCATCCATCCATTCTATCATGTCCATCCATCCATGTTTCATTTCTTCCATCCATCTGTTTTCAATCAATCCTTCAGTGCATCATGTTTCTTTTCAATTTATCCACCATCCATCCATCCATATAATTGATTTATCCATCCATCCATCCATTCAACCCAACCATTCACTGAATTAATTCATCCAACATCCATCCATCCATCATCTATATAATTGATCCATCCATCCATCCATCCATCCATCCATCCATCCATCCATCCATCCAACAAAACCAATCACTGAATTCATCAATCAATCCATCCATCCATTCAACTTCTTTCATTCTATCCAATTATTCATTCATTCATGTCCATCCATCCATTTTTCATTCTATACATCCGTTTTCAATCAATCCTTCAGTGCATCATGTTTCTTTTTAATGTATCCACCATTCATCCATCCTTTCTTATAATTAATTAATCCATCCATTTATCCATCCACCCAACAAAACCATTCACTGAAATCAAACCATCCACCCATCCATTCATACATCCAACAAAACCATTCACTGAATTCATCCATCCATCCATCCATTCAATAAATCCAACAAAACCATTCACTGAATTCATCCATCCATCCATAAATCCATCCATTCATCCATCTTTCATTCTATCCAATCATCATTCTTTCATTCCTTCATTCATTCTATCATGTCCGTCCATCCATCCATCCATGTTTCATTCAATCCATCCTTCAGTGCATCATCTTTCTCTTTTCAATTTATCCACCATCCATTAATTTAATTGATTCATCCATCCATCCATTCTACGCTATCATTCACTGAATTTATCCATCCATTCATCCATCTTTTTTCATTCTATCCAATCATCATTCATTCATTCATTCATATATTCTACCGTGTCTATCCATCCATTTTTTCATATCAATTATTCATTGACCTTCATTGACTTGAATTATTCATTATTCATCCTTCCATTCGTTTTACAATCCATCCTTCAGTGCATCATGTTTCCTTTTAATTTTTCCACCATGCATCCATTCATTGAATTCATCCATCCACCCTCTTTCATTCTGTCCAACCATCATTCATTTATTCATTCATTCTATCATGCCCATCCATCCATTCTTTCATCCTAGTCAACTATCATTCATTTAATAATCTTCATCCATTAATTTACTTTAATTTTATCTATCATTCATCCATCCATTCTATCATGTCCATCCATCCATGTTTCATTCTATCCATCCATCTGTTTTCAATCCATCCTTCAGTGCATCGTGTTTCTTTTCAATTTATCCACCATCCATCCATTCATATAATTGATTCATCCATTCATCCATTCAACCCAACCATTCACTGAATTCATCCATCCATCCATCCATCCATCCATCCATACAACCCAACCAACCATTTACTGAATTCATCCATCCATCCATCTACTTTTATTCTATCCAATCATTCATTCATTCCCATCCTATCCATTCATTCATCCATCTTACATTCATAATTTCATTCAAAATATCCCTCAATCCATTCATTGGTTTTCAATCTATCCATCCTTCAGTTCATCATTTCTTTTAATTTATCCACCATCTGTCCATCCATGCCTCCATCAATTCAATTAATTAATTCATTCACCCATCCATTCATCTTCTTTCATTCTATCCAACCACCATTAATTCTATCATGTTCATCCATACATACAAATCAATCACCCATCCAGTATCTTTTCATTCAATTTACAGTTCATGTATTCATTCTATCATCATTCATTCAATCTATCCATTCTTCTATACAATTTTCAATCTATTTATCCTTCTATCCATCTTTCTACCCATCCTCTTACTCATTCAATTAACCATTCATCCATACAGTCATTCTTTTATTGAAAAAAACTGCTCTTATTCTAGCTAAAATAAAACAAATCAGACTTTCTCCAGAAGAAAAAACATTATAGGAAATACTGTGAAAAATTTCTTGCTTTGTTAAACATCATTTGGGAAAAATATAATATCTCAATAATCACCTTCTCTTTCAATCTCCTCCTCAGTCTCTCTTTGGATGACTGCAGTAAGCAGATCTTCCCGCTCTCCGTTTTCTCCTCCTGCTTGTCTTCTTTCTTCTTCTCCTCCTCTTTCGGCTCATCCTTTACTCCTCTCTCCGTGTGGATCTCCGGCTCCTCCTGTTTTACATTCTCTGTCTCTTTGGTATTGCGTGTGGGGCCTCTGTCAGCCCCTGAAGGTCCTTGACTGAAACAGTTGGTCTGGTGTTTTGGGTTTTGATGCCAGCGGCGGTTCTGGCTGTATCCGTGATGAGGGCCGATTTGTCGCACACCTTGATTTTGCTGGCCCTGGTAACCCCGCCCACTTTGTTTCAAGCCAGCTCCTGATTGGTGGTCTGAGTTGGGCTGTTGCGTCTGATTGGTCGGCTGATTCTGCTGCGGCGGCGGAAGTCCTTGTTGTTGCTGCTGTTGAGGATTTGGAGATTTCCCACCAGCCCCTCCTCCTCCTCCTCCTCCTCCTGGCAGGCGTTGCTGTTTCCTATAAAAACAACAACAATAAAAGGAGCTTGTTGAATGACAATGTCAATGTCAATTGTTACAGTATGTCAATTAAAACGTTGCTTTGATGTTCTGAGGTGTTTTGGGTGTTTGCAGGCATTGTTACGTTGTTGGCAGGTATTGTTAGGTGTTTGATGGACTGGTAATGTTCAAAGCAGTAGTCAAGGGTGTTATGGGAAACTTTGGATTGCAAATAAAATAAAATACAGAATGGAATAAAATAAAATAAAAAACAGAATAAAATAAGATAAATTGTAAAAAAAAAAGAATAAAATTAAAATGAACAAATAACTAAAATAAAAAACAGAAACATATAAATACTAAAGACACAATAAAAACGATTATAAAATAAAATAAAACAAAATAAAATAAAAAACAGAATAAAATAAAATAAATAAAAAAAAACACAAATTAAAATAAAATAAAAAACTGAATAAAATAAAATACTAAAATACAATAAAAAACAGAATAAAATAAAATACTAAAATACAATAAAAAACAGAATAAAATAAAATAAAAAAACTGAAAATAAAATAAAAACAGAATAAAATAAAATGCAAAAATATATTAAAAAACAGAATAAAATAACATACTAAAATACAATAAAAACAAAATAAAATAAAAAACATAAAATAAAATAGAAACATAAAATAAAATAAAAACAGAATAAAACAAAATAAAAACAGAACACAATAAAATAAAAAAACAAAATAAATAAAAACAAAACAGAATAAAATTAAATAAAAACAGAATAAAATAAAACACTACTACTAAAATACTAAAATAAAATAAAAACCGAATAAAACAAATAAAATAAAACAGAATAGAACAGAATAAAAAAAGAATAGAATAAAATAAATTAAATAAAAAATAAAGCGACAGAATATCAAAATATGAAAATAAAAAGCAAGAGTAAAATAAAATTTCAAAATAAACAAAAAACTGAATAAAATAAAATAAAACAGAATAAAATAAAACAATAAAAAAATTAAATAAAATAGATAGAAAATAAAACATTAAACAAAATAAAACCTGAATAAAAAACAAATAAAATAAAACAGAATAGAATAAAACAAAAAATAGAATAGAATAAAACAGAACAAAATAAAATAAATAAAACAGAACAGAATAAAAAAATAGAATAAAACAGAACAAAATAAAATAAAGTTTATAAAACTAAATTGAATAGAATAGAATAAAAAGAAAATAATAAAATAGAACAAAATAATATAAAACACAACACAAACTGATAAACTAATTAATTAATTATTATATGACTAATGCCTACAATTAATTTTATGAACGTTCTAAGAAATTAAATAAATAAATAAATACAATAAATACGAAATAAATGCACAAAAATAAACCAAAAAAATAAAAGTAGAGAATTACAAAAATACTTAAATATATAAGTGAATGTAAACATTGAAGTAAATAAAGGCATTAAAAATGCAGTAATATGATTAATAAAGCAAAGAAATTAATTCTCAATAACATACAAACGCATGCATAAATGCAATACAAAAAAGAACAATCAGCAAAAAAAGTAAAACATATAAAAAATAAATAAGAAATAATACAAAGATTGAAACAAACAAAGCATAATATCCAAAAATAGACATATTCATGCATGAATGAATAAATCAAACAAAAAATTTAAATCATAAATCAAATACATACAAATGCATAAATAAAAACTAAAAGAAGACAAAGACATGAAAATACAGTATAAGTAATGCATGAATGAATGAGTAAAAGAATTAATTCAGATTGATCCTGGATGCAAGTTGATAAACACACAATGAACAACTTAATATTATATGCCCTATTTCCTAAATTAAGAATGATGAACAGAACTATAACAACACAGCTTTACTCACTTCAGTAAAATAAATCCATGTGACATGAGCATTTAAAGCGGCAGATGACTGAATATTTCCATGATTAAAACATGTGGATGCTTACACAGAATTGTTTCTGGTGTTAACAGCGATGATGGACCAATGATAACTAGCCAATCACGATGTGTTAATGTGTGTGTGTAACGATTTCCTGCAGATGTGAGTCAACTGTTAAACATGTTTGCACCAGACTGATGGATGATCCAACTAGCACTGGATTATGAGCTTTACAGTGTGTACATTACGTGTGTACATATACATACTGTACACGTGCGGTGTGTGTGTGTCTGCATGCAATAACATCAGTCTGTTAGCATGCATCATTAAAGGGTCTCAACCCCACCCCCCCATCTCAGCTGGGTGCTTTCACACCTCTAGTTTGAAGTCAGGAAAGTGGCTGAGTTCAGCTTTGTTTAGGTGGGAGTGTCCAGTGGCAAAAGAGGGAAGGGTTTGCATGAAAAGGGGAGTTTCAGTACGAGCACGCGCTGATTTTCAAAGGCAACACAAATACAGACGGCAATGGTTTGATTAAGATGTTTACATTCGGACAGCAGCATTTACAGCGGAACCTTTAGTTCATAATATTGTAGTGATATTAACTGTAAACTGAGTAACTGGATGCTGGAAATTAAGTTTTGCATCACAGAAATGAATATCATTCTCCTAAAAATGTACATGAAAATAGGTATTTTAAATTGCAGATATATTTCACAATATTGCTGTGTTTTTAGACGCTTTCTTAGTGAGCGTGAGCCTTTCAGCAGCTTTAAGCACATGATCACTCTCGTAAACATCTATATTTTAGAATTACGGTTGCTGCAGGAATGAAGACGGGAAACTGTGTGGAGGTTTAACACACGTAAAGCCTGAAGAATGAGAAGGTCAAGAGCTCCACATCTTCATCTCCGTCTGTCATTCAGCACACTGGCCCGAAATAAACCTGGAGCTGTCAGAGTGTTTTACACAGCACTGAATGCCACACTTTACAACCCTTCAGAGGTGAAGTGTGTTAATGACCACTGGTGGACATCTTCAGCTCTCAAGTGCTCACTGCGTGTTTCTTATGCCTAGTTCAGACTGCGTGATTTTAGCCCCGATTTTGGCTCCCCGACATGTTTTGAGAAATCGCAGACAAATGCCTGAAAACACAGGCAAATCGGTGCTCATGCACGTACACGTGAGTCCCGTTCACACAGTATGAACGATCAAAGACGCGATCTGAGAGAATCGCCGATGAGTCCCCGATGCCTGTGAGATATTTGGCATGCTAAACATCTGGAGCTGTCGGTGATTCAAATCATTCCGTGTGAATTGAGTTTGACTGAAAATAACATCAGCGATCGCCTACAGCCAATGAGAGAGCAGCTTTCACTTGTGTGTGTGTGTGTGTGTGTATACCTGCTGCAGGCCAGCGGGAGGTTGGGGGAGAAGTTAAAAGCACTCATTTTCGGTTTATTTGGACCCACGAAACGGAGCAAAAACTAGTGAAGGTTTGACAGGAATCAGGAGCAACCGTGTCTGTTTGACGTTTCATACAGAAAGAAATTAGTTTATTATCAACGTTGAGGAGAAATGGCTAATTCCCTTTAAACCCAGGTGAGCAAACATGTACATGTTCTACCCCATTAAAGGCTTCTTTCTCATTATGTAGTTAATAACAAAAGATATACGACGTGTTTTTGGCTGTGAGATGTAGATTTGGACGAAGTTGTCGGCGATTCTTCCTATAGTAAAGTCATGCAATGTGAAAGTCCCTGTCGCCGAACCATCTTGCAGTGTAAACAAAGCAGCGACGAAACGCTAGCCCAGACTGTCATGCAGTGTGAAAACATCTGTGACACGACTACTTTGAAAATCATGCAGTCTGAACTCGGCATAAGGCCCCGATTACACTAGTGTGTTTTAGTTTTAAAACGGCGTTTTAGAATGGAAACGATCCGCGTCCACACTAGCGTTTTACCCAGCGTTTCTGAACCGCTCTCCATCCACACCAAAACGCTGAAAACACACATCACGTGACCACACACACACACACACAGGCAATCGCTGCAGCCTTTCTACCCAGATGAGAGCTGTGCTGGTCGGGCTGCTCATCAAGCATCTCCCGCTGGATCTAATCTCACTATATTTGCTAAACGTGATATTTAATTAATCTTGTTGTCTATATCTAACGACATATTCCCCGACTTTGGTCTGTTGAATCGATTACTTGTTCACAGGTAACGTGTTTTGGCTGAGCGCCTCTCTCCCTCTTTAAGCTATATATTTTTTAGATATTCTACAGAACAAACCATTGTTTTACAATAATTTGCCTAATTACCCTAACTTGCCTAGTTACCCTCATTAACCTAGTTAAGCCTTTAAATGTCACTTTAAGCTGTATAGAAGTGTCTTGAAAAATATCAAGAAAAATATTATTAACTGTCATCATGGCAAAGATAAAATAAATCAGTTATTAGAAATGAGGGTAACACTTTATGATAACTACACACTATAAATCATTTATTAAGCGTTAGCAAATAGTGAATTCATTATCTGTTAAGCCTTAACTTTACATTAATAAGCGTTAGTAAGCAGTTTATAACTGCAGCTACAAGCGCTCTGTTCTTGACTTATAAGCACCTATATAATGTGTTTAATAATTTCAATTTCATATTTAGTTAATGATTTATATTTCATTACAAAATTAAGTATCACATTATTTACAAACCAGTTGTATTTAAGATGAGTTGAGGGTTTTTAGGATCATTCAAAATGAGTTAGAAAATGATTAATAAACTATTCAAATCAATGTTTATTTGTCTTATTATTCAGGCATATATTAATAGTTAACTAATATGTTAATAAATGCTTTATTAACTCAACTTCATGCAGTTTTGTGACCTGATCTAAAGTGAGGACTATTTATGCTTTATAAATCCCTTATAAATGACAAATAAAGGCTCAGAGTCAAGTGAAAAATAATCACGCAATCCTTTCTAAAAAGTGAAATTAATGTAAAAGGAAAAACATAGCCAAATAACAGGAGTGTCAAAATACGACATAAAACTGGATAAAACAAAACCAACAATATAATAAC